AGGAGCAAGGACGCTACTAGGGGCTCCTGGCCTTACTACTAGGAACAATGTTCGCTACTAGGGGCTCCTGGCATCGCTACTAGGAGCAAGGACGCTGCTAGAGGCTCCTGGCCTTACTACTAGGAACAATGTTCGCTACTAGGGGCTCCTGGCATCGCTACTGGGAGCAAGGACACTACTACAGGCTCCCGGCCTTACTACTAGGAACAATGTTCGCTACTCGGGGCTCCTGGCATCGCTACTAGGAGCAAGGACGCTACTAGGGGCTCCTGGCCGTACTACTGGGAGCAAGAAGCTATGGCATCGCTACTAGGAGCAAGGACGCTAGTAGACTAGGCGCTGCTGGCCTTACTACTAGGAACAAGAAGCTACTAGGGGCTCCTGGCCTTATTACTAGGAGCAAGCAACTATTAGGGGCTCCTGGCATCGCTACTAGGGGCAAGGACGGTACTAGGGGCCCCTGGCCTTACTACTAGGAACAATGTTCGCTACTAGGGGCTCCTGGCCTTATTACTAGGAGCAAGCAGCTATGAGGGGCTCCTGGCATCGCTACTAGGGGCAACGACGCTACTAGGGGCTCCTGGCCTTACCACTAGGAACAATGTTCACTACTAGGGGCTCCTGGCCTTATTACTAGGAGCAAGCAGCTATTAGGGGCTCCTGGCATCGCTACTAGGGGCAAGGACGCTACTAGGGGCTCCTGGCCTTACTACTAGGAACAATGTTCGCTACTAGGGGCTCCTGGCCTTATTACTATGAGCAAGCAGCTATTAGGGGCTCCTGGCCTCGCTACTAGGGGCAAGGACGCTACTAGGGGCTCCTGGCCTTACTACTAGGAACAATGTTCGCTAGTAGGGGCTCCTGGCCTTATTACTAGGAGCAAGCAGCTATTAGGGGCTCCTGGCATCGCTACTAGGGGCAAGGACGCTACTAGGGGCTCCTGGCCTTACTACTAAGAACAATGTTCGCTAGTAGGGGCTCCTGGCCTTATTACTAGGAGCAAGCAGCTATTAGGGGCTCCTGGCCTCGCTACTAGGGGCAGGGACGCTACTAGGGGCTCCTGGCCTTACTACTAGGAACAATGTTCGCTACTAGGGGCTCCTGGCCTTATTACTAGGAGCAAGCAGCTATTAGGGGCTCCTGGCCTCGCTACTAGGGGCAAGCAGCCATAAGGGGCTCCTGGCATCGCTACTAGGGGCAAGGACGCTAGGGGCTCCTGGCCTTACTACTAGGAACAATGTTCGCTACTAGGGGCTCCTGGCCTTATTACTAGGAGCAAGCAGCTATTAGGGGCTCCTGGCCTCGCTACTAGGGGCAAGGACGCTACTAGGGGCTCCTGGCCTTACTACTAGGAACAATGTTCGCTACTAGGGGCTCCTGGCCTTATTACTAGGAGCAAGCAGCTATTAGGGGCTCCTGGCCTCGCTACTAGGGGCAAGCAGCTATTAGGGGCTCCTGGCATCGCTACTAGGGTGTGGACCCGAAGACAGGGTGAACCACTACGATGAGACCAGGTGAACCCCCGGACAGCCACCGTGGGAGGACACCAAGCGTGGAACGCCGTGGCCAGGAGCACACTGCGCTGCAAACCTTGGCCGCCCAGGTGGAAGCGGAGCTTGGAGACAGGTGCTGACTTTGGGGCCGAAGTCCTGGTCCTGCGGTGGAAAGAATGGGCCTACTAGTAGCAAGAAACTACGAATGTAGCTCCTGGAATTACTACTAGGAGCAAGAAGCAACTCAAGTCTATGAACGGATTGAGGTTTCGTTTCGGACAGAAGCACCGCTGCGCAAGATGCATGTGGAGTGGAAGCATTTCACAGTCTCAAGTGTATCAAGGATGTGAGCAGCTCGGTTCCAAGATGTTCCAATGACATTCTGGGATCACAAGACATAACAGATCACATAGGCATATCAAGTTCCTCATAGACATATCAGACCTTGTTCTTGGAACAGTCCGATGCCCGAAGTGTCATCGCACCGAGTGGCGGCCGCAGCGGCCCCTCTGACCTTCCGTCGAACCCGTCCGGCGCGCGCCGCTCCGCGAGGAGTCGTTCGGAGAGCTGTGAGCTTTGCTGGCAACCCCTGGCAGCCAGGCCAGGTCTTCGCCGCTTTGCCTGGCCCAAGGTTCCATTGACACAATGAGTGACACAAGGTTCCAACAAAAAAACACCCAAACACCCAGCCCATCCACCCACACATCTCAGGATTGGTCACCTCTAGGTGTGGCCCTTCGTCGATGCGCCGTCGCAGGTCACCGATGCGTCGATGGCCCCGTGAGACGCGCTGCAGTTACCGGCGAGCGGCAGGCGCGGTCCACCGCGCGTCTAAGAAGTGAGGGTTGGACGTGGGGAACCCAACCCGAAACCCAAAACCTGTCAGACAGGATGCCCTGGTTCAGAGTGGATCTGCGATTTGACACCTTCTTCACCTGGAGTCGCACCCAAACCCGGGCAAGTGGTGAAGCGCACTGGACGCTTTGACGGGTTGGCAATGTGTCGGCTTTGGGGATTTCGACTTGGTTGTCAAGTCGAGCGTCGAACATGCATCGAACTGTTGTGTCATGATCAAAATGGGTGAGTTAATCCACGCGTGTATATTTACATAGGAGACCCGGAACGAATTGGTTTTTGGTTGATTTTTCCTTCTTCCAAAGGGGTTGAACTGCATAGTATCAAGCACTTGATCCAAGATAAACTACCCGATAGAAGCAGCAGGAGCACCGCCCAGCAGCGCGATGCCCGGACGGAACCTTACTCCTTTTTGTACAATCACTTCCTTGGCTTGCAGCATTTTCTTGTAACATTGACCTGTGGTTCGCAATAGTCATGGGCATTCAAAGTCTGATTTTGTACTGCACACAAACAAAGCAGCAAGTTCTGGCGGCTTTGACCCTGACCCATGAAGTTTAAAGTGCAATGATCGTGCGTGGCCATGGAAGACATTGATAAGACTCTGATAAGACGAGCAGCAGTTCTTTCGCCATGTATTTACAGGGATTGTTGGATGGCTGGTACGGCATTCTGAAGGTCTGGGATCTGGGCTTGGCCTCAGATTCCACACCCTCAGTGTTTGACCATTATGTGGACGATACACAATACCAAGACAAGAGAGGCATCAGGCTGAGACTCCATCAAGGTGTGGGAATTCTCAAACCTTGATGGTGTTGTCTCAGGCAAACAGCTTTACAACTTGCATGTAGAGACACTGGCTCAGGATGAAACCTTCATTTGTTTGGCCATTGGACCAGATGACCAGATTGCTCAGATTACCAGGTTGCTCGGTCAGAAGTCGACCTTCACGCTCAGAGTGCTTGGCGGAGGGAACTGAACCAGGAGGAACCTTCAATCGTTTTCTGAGACATACTTTTGCTTGGCGCAGTTGGTGTGCAAGTGCTGAAGCTTGCTTGAGACATACAATCCTTTTGCGGGAGAGCCCGGGTGTATACATGTGTATACACAGCCCGTAGGCTTCGTTTCGAAAAGGACAACTCCGCCACTCTCCTGCAGCTGTTGTGTATGTCGTCGCTCGTCCGGATCACCAGAGATGGAGTCAGAACCAGTTGCCATGGGTGGTTCATGGTGGTTAGGGCTGTTAACAGTTTGAGATGTTGGCTTCGCAACGTGATTCCAACCAAACCGTGCTGATTCATGGGCATCGTTCAGCTTGGACCGGCAGAGTCGGGCGTCGCTCGACCGCCTCAGCGCGTCCGGCGCGCCTCGGCGCGGCCAGCCTCGCAGGTGCGGAGTTGGTGCTGACCTTCCAGCTTGGAGGTCGGTTCCCGCCGGTCTACACGGTCGACCGAGGTGTAGACGGTGATGGTCGGTCGGTCCCCCCAAACAGGCGGAATTGGTGGTCGGTTCCGCACGTGTTTTTTCCCCAAACAGTTTACTGTTAGGGGTTCTCAATGCTTTACAGAATGGTCGCCTTGGTGCTGGATGGTCTGGTCGGGTTCCCGGCCGGCTTGTCTCTGACTTCCCTTCATTTGTCTCCCAGTTCTTTTCATTTGTCTCCCAGGCTGGGTGATTGTGGTCGTGGGTGCTTGTGGTCGGGTTCCCGGCTGGCTTGTCTCCCACTTCTTTTCACTTGTCTCCCAGGCTGGGTGCTTGTGGTCGGGTTCCCGGCTGGCTTGTCTCCCACTTCTTTTCACTTGTCTCCCAGGCTGGGTGCTTGTGGTCGGGTTCCCGGCTGGCTTGTCAGGCTCGGTGCTTGTGGTCGGGTTCCCGGCCGGCTTGTCTCCCACTTCCTTTCATTTGTCTCCCACTTCTTTTCAGGCTGGGCGCTTCTGGTCCGGTTCCCGGCTGGCTTGTCTCCCACTTCCTTTCGTTTGTCTCCCACTTCTTTTCATTTGTCTCCCACTTCTTTTCATTTGTCTCCCAGGCTGGGTGCTTGTAGTCGGGTTTCCGGCCGGCTTGTCTCCCACTTCCTTTCATGTGTCTCCCACTTTTTCCCCAAGCAGTTTACTGTTAGGGGTTCTCAATTCTTTCTTAAGATGTGTCCGCCCTTTGTGTCACTGCTGGTGTCCGCCCATTTCCACTAGCATTTCTATTCATTTGTCTCCCAGGTCTGCTGCTTCTCTTGCAAAGCACGACCCAAATCCGCAGGCTGGTGTGGCAATCCTCATCCCTCCAGGATGGGTCCTCACTGTAGAAAAGACTTTGGTAAACCATTTTGCCATTGCTGCCTGTGTCTGCTACCAGGCGTGCTCGATCTGGTTAATTAGTCTCAGTGTACTTACCACCGCAGAGCCCTTTTCCGCTGACCATGCAGCATTTCTATTCATTTGTCTCCCAGGTCTGTTACTGCTGGTGTCCGCCCTTTTCCGCTGGCCATGTAGCATTTCTATTCATTTGTCTCCCAGGTCTGTCATTGGTGGTGTCCGCCCTTTTCCGTTGGCCATGCAACATTTCTATTCATGTGTCTCCCAGGCCTGTCACTGCTGGTGTCCGCCCTTTTCTGCTGGCCATGTAGCACTTCTATTCATTTGTCTCCCAGGTCTGTCGCTGCTGGTCTATTCATCTCCCAGGTCTGTTACTGGTGGTGTCCGTGGCCATATAGCACTTCTATTCTTTTGTTTCCCAGGTCTGTCACTGGTGTGTCCTTGTCTAATGGCCATGAAGCATTTCTATTCATTTGTCTCGCAGGTCTGTCACTGCTGGTGTCCGCCCTTTTCCGCTGGCGATGCAACATTTCTATTCGTTTGTCTCCCAGGTCTGTCCGCCCTTTTCTGCAGGCAATGCAGCAGTCTATTCATTTGTCTCCCAGGTCTGTCACTGCTGGTGTCCGCCCTTTTCCGCTGGCCATGTAGCACTTCTATTCTTTTGTCTCCCAGGTCTGTCACTGGTGTGTCCTTGTCTATTGGCCATGAAGCATTTCTATTCATTTGTCTCCCAGGTCCGTCACTGCTGGTGCCATGTAGCATTTCTATTCATTTGTCTTTCAGGTCTGTCACTGGTGGTGTCCGCCCTTGTCCGTTGGCCATGAAACATTTCTATTCATTTGTTCCCAGGTCCGTTACTGCTGGTGTCCGCCCTTTTCCGTTGGCCATGTAGCATTTCTATTCATTTGTCTCCCATGCGACTTCTGTCTTTTTGTCTTTCAGGTTTGGTGCCTGCACTGCTGTTTTCTGCCGCGTTCCTGCCACACTGTGTAACTCTCTCAGCTTTGTTTTTCTTTTCGGGCAAGCGTTCCATGAATGACCGGATTGGATTTTGTGACAGTCTCAGGGCATGCGTCAGGCACCAAACATCAATTTCATGTCACGTCCTTCGCTCCTCATGCTTTTATTTCTTGTCCTCACGTGGTCAGCTCCTTGCTGATTGAGCAGCGTGACCAGCATCATGTTCGCACTTGAAGAATAATTCCCCAAAAGGTTTACTGTCAGGGCTTCTCAATTCTTTCTTAAGATGTGTCCGCCCGCTCTGTACTGCTGTGTCCGTCTTTGCCTTGCAATCCTTTACACTTGTCTCCCAGCTCTGGGCTGCTGTGGCCGCCTCTGCCTTGCAATCCTTTGTCTCCCAGCTCTGGACGTCGCAAGCTCTAGTTTCGATGTTGAAAGACGCAAACTGTTTGGGGTCTACGGTGGTGTAATTTCAAGATCTAGCTGTTGAGTGCCGTTGGAATCTCAGGTGGCTTGACTTTGATGTCAGTGCGTCAGTGGTTTGGCCGCTGTGTAGACGGTCGACCGAGGTTGGTTGTGATGTCGGTCCAGGGTCCAAACATGCGGAATTGGTTTGTGACCGCACGTGGGTTTCCCCAAACAGTTTACCGTTAGGGGTTCTCAATTCTGTCTTAAGATGTGTCCGCCCTTTGTGTCACTGCTTGTGTCCGCCCTTTTCCGCTGGCCATGTAGCATTTCTATTTCTTTGTCTCCCAGGTCTGTCACTGGTGTCCGCCCTTTTCCGCTGGCCATGTAGCATTTCTATTCATGTGTCTCCCAGGTCTGTCACTGCTGGTGTCCGCCCTTTCCGCTGGCCATGTAGCATTTCTATTCATTTGTCTCCCAGGTCTGTCACTGCTGGTGTTCGCCCTTTCCACTGGCCATGTAGCATTTCTATTCATTTGTCTCTCTGGTCTGTCGCTGCTGGTGTCCGCCCTTTTCCGCTGGTGATGCAACATTTCTATTCATTCCCCACAGTTTGTTGTTAGGGGTTCTCCATTCTTTCTTGAGATGTGTCCGCTTTGTGTCACTGCGGGTGTCGCCCCTTGTCTGCTGGCCATGCAGCATTTCAATTCATCTCCCAGGTTCGGCGCCTGCTGCTGGTGTCCGCCCTTTTCCGCTGGCCATGCAGCATTTTTGTTCATTTGTCTCCAGGGTGACTTCTGTATTTCGCCGAACAGGCGACTGTTAGAGGAGTGTCCGCCTTGCTGCGGGACAGCGTGTCCGCCTTCCGTCCGGCTTGTCTCCCTTTGTCTCCCTTCTTGTTGGTCACTGTGTCCGACTGTGTCCGACTTGTCTCCCTTCTGTTTCCCTTTGTCTCCGGTCTTGTCTCCCTTCTTGTTGGTCATTGTGTCCGCCTTGTCCTTCCTTCTTGTCTCCCTTTGTCTCCGGTCTTGTCTCCCTTCTTGTTGGTCGCTGTGTCCGCCTTGTCTCCCTTTTGTTTTCTTTTGTCGCCCTTCTCGTCTCCTTTCTTGTTGGTCATTGTGTCCGTCTTGTCTCCCTTCTTGTTCGTCACTGCGTCCGTCTTGTCTTCCTTCTGTTTCCTTTTGTCTCCCTTCTTGTCTCCCTTGTTGTCTCCCTTCGTCCGCCTTGTCTTCCTTCTTGTCTCCCTTTGTCCCCGGTCTTGTCCTCCTTCTTGTGGGTCACTGTGTCCGCCTTGTCCTTCCTTCTTGTGTCTCCGGTCTTGTCTCCCT